TTTGAAGCCTCTGTAGTCATGTCCCGCGTCGTTTAGAAAAAGTTCACTGAGAAAGATAAACCACGACGTAGAGGGGCTTATATTTGCGATACTGAAACCGCTCTGTCGTACGTGCCGTCTGTGTTGACAATTCCTTCGCAGGAAATGGAAGTTTGCCGAGAAACGGGATCTCAACTTAAATTTGTTTGCTGTGTCGTGCGCCAACAGCCACTGTTACAGTGGAACCTCGATACACCGCGCCTCGTTCCCCGATACGATTACATATTTCCCACTGAAGCCTGCGTCCACTCTATTTAAATTTCTTTTATATTTTGCCTAAAAATAGGAGAAGGAAATTAGCAAAATAAAGGGAGGGGAATTGAGAAGGGGCGGAAGGTTCGCAACGCTTCACTGAAAAGCGTTCAAAACTTTGACAGATTTAAACTCGGGTGACATTTCAAGGACGTGCGAATTTCGTCGTGGTTGTGAGTACAATTGGCGGATGGGTGGTAGCTCAGAGTTGCGAGTTGTTTGACTTTTCACAGGAGCGTTGTCGGAAAATTATTCTGTCATTGAAATTAAAAAGTGGGGGTCTCTCCAGCAATTCCCCCAGGTGTTAGAGGATCTGCAAGACAGCAGCGTTCCGTTGGCCCTGATGATAATTTACTTAAATGCAAATCTACGTTACAGAGCAATTACGCCTTGGACAGAGCTGATGAACGCTTCAATTACATATTGCAAGGCACAGAAGCAGAGATCACTCCACTTACGCCGTTAAACATGAAGTTCTACGAGGAACTTAATGAAGCACAAAGGAACTCGGTAATTATACAGAGTGATTAAAACATCCCTCGCACACGTAAGAACGCAAATTTACAACAAATTCGGTGACTACACTCAGGGTTCTTTAAAACAAATGATGCTTTAATTGTGTTCACGATTATAATCGATTATTTTGTTGGAAAATATTCTGCCAGTTTGGAATTCACAGCCATCTAAAGATGGCCGCCCTCTTCCTCGCGTCGTCCGACATCGTAATCTCCGTCGGTAACTGCGCACTCTTCTGCGTCATCCGGTCGCTCGTGCTCCGCTCGATTTAACTCCGCAATCCTCTCAGTCACTGCACTGACACGAGCCAATAAACCGAAAAGCTTACGTGCGCAGGCGCAGAACATTGTCCCTCGCTTGATACCTGCGTGCGAAACGAATGGCTGTAGATATTAAACGGGGCGTATTAAGGCTTTGACCGGGATGTTCTTTTGTTAAATCTTATGTGGTACCGCCTGATTCGACTTCTAATGGTTAAGTGAAGTGTTTTCTTCGCGGTACGGTCTGGATTCGTAAATATTATGAAGACGAGCTTCGGCTTCAAAGGGTTAATCAGCTGATTTTCGTAATGGTGAGGTGTAGTGTTTTCTTCGCGGTACGGACTGAATTCATAAATAATATTTAGACGATCTTCGGCTTCGAAGGGTTAAATACAGCTTGCACGCGCCTTTGCGAAAGGGATGTTCGTCTTGGCTGAAGATTTTGAAGTGTTAAGACAAAGGGCCGGCGCTGCTGATGCGAGAATGATCACATCAGGCAATTTGTCCTCTACGAAAAGAACTTTGGCTGGAAGTTGAACCCGCAGAGGCTGGCTGATAACCGCTATGACATTGGAGAATAATTTTTGCTTGGAGGCATCCGAGACCATGCCCCCTGCAGTTTCCTTTTGACTGGGTAAAGCCACTGAAGACGGACAGGGAATCCGATAAACATCACACAACTCGTTGGGTCGACTGGCCTACTCACGTGTATACTCGGTCGACGGTTGGTGACAAGTTGCTGAGTTAAACTTTTTAGTCGGCGAAGATTGGAAACCTCAAATCGCAGAGAATTTGTCTGTTACCAACGCCCTAAGATGCCTTAGTCGTAGTAAGACGAAACTTGACTTAAATACCGCCCTCTTTCGATCCACTGCGTTCGATGTCTGAGAAATTGGATGGGTCCAGCGGTTCTTCTGCAGAGACATTGATGGTAATCTTCCAATCTCTTATCCACCGGAGTCGTCTTCAGAGAGACGAGAAGCCAAGGACTGAGTTTGTAGCCCACTAGTTCCTCGTACGTGCTAGAGGAACAGCTCAGGGAATGTGGGCCCATCCTGATCGGCGTCCCTCAGTCAAGTTGTTGGGACATCGTGTCCAGTAGGCGAGATGCGAATTTTTGGGCTGGTTAGGTTATAATGGAGACCTACGAGTCGTCAGTTATCGATGGAAAACCTCGCCGGCTAGGCCCGTGTTCAAAGTTTGCGTTGACTTCCCAGGGGACCCCGAGTAAGAATGCGGG